CGGGCGGGCGCAAGGGGGTGGCCTTTGGCCACCCCCCCCGCACCCACATTGTCGACAGAGGTCTACCCCGACAGTACTAATCATAGCAACAGTATAATTGTAGAAGTCGTGTGCCCCTGTGCAGGGGAGGGGGGGTGAAAGTTACTTCGCGTGAAAGGTCGAAACCTATGTAGATTAGTATTTAATATTGTATATATGTATAGCAGAAATAGGACGTTATTTTTGAAACTTTTTTCGTTAATATCTTTTTTAACGAATGGCGAGCGACGGCTAGTTGTTAAGGCAAAGTTACTCAGGGTCATGACCTTAATAACATATGTCAAGGTCAAAGTCATCGGTGCTGCCTCCCCTATTCTAAATAATTACCTTTCTCTCTATTAATTACGTTTATAATAACTTTTACTAATAAATATTTATAAAAAATGTAGAGGATATTTTTTTTATCATACATTTAAATTATTTACTTATGTAATAAAATATGCAGTAAATTGATAAAACACGAATAAAAGGCATCTCACTAGTGATTTGATTTCGTTTTCAAAGTCTCTACAATATGCAATATTATGTGAAAGAATTGTATCAAGCTGTATATTTAGAAATTCAAGATGATCTTAATATTTTTCAAAAAAAATTTTTTTAATTTTTTTATCGCATATTGTGTGCAGTCTGCATAAAATAGATGAAACACTTTTTCTTCATTATCGGAAGTTTCTGAAAAATTGTTCGGACCATTGCTCTGAACACCCTGTGTACAGTTTAATTTTCTTCTAATTATTTCTTTAAATTTTTATACTTACCCAGATACACAGTGAGCAGCTGTTAGGACGTGACACTTGTCAATTATAACTCCACCGCATAAATGGTCACCATTATATTGCATAGAAATCTGAATTATAAAATGCATGTCATACGACAGGATAGAACAATTTATGAGACATTATTCTACGTCTAGCACACTATAAATGACACTGTTAGCTTAGAATCGCTTCAATGAAAATAGATAACTTGGTGATTACTCGACCAACTTGAAAAATTTAAAAGATATTTTGAAACCCATGCAGTTAACGTAACTGTACCGATTAATAATAGTGTTAATTAAGAATAATTTACTGGTTTACCTGATATGGGATTTCGCCTGGAGAGGCAAGTTCTCCTCCTACAATTCTCTCTTCTAATTCTATCGATGCGCCTGCATAAAATTTGTTTAAATTTATTATATTTATAAACTTAATAGTGTGCATTAAATTTAAAGGCCACATAAAAACTGATCAATTCGTCTGTTAGAATACTTACCATGGAGAATAGTGAGTAAGGGAATTAAGAATAATAATTGTATCATCATCGTATTGTATTATCAATTCTTTGCGAAGATGTCGATTGATTATTCCAAATCTGATGTATATAATATACAGGTAGTTGTGTCTATAAAATTAAATTTGAAATTACACAAGGTTAAAGAAGACATCTTATGTGTATTAATATTTAAAATCGCTCTTAATAGACCAAAATACTATTTATATTGTCTTATTGACTTGTAATATTAGTAAAGATTGGCAAACGTAAGTATTGCGCAATTTTCTATTCTATACATATACAAAATTAGACAACGTAGTATAGAAATTTTGTTAACTTGTCGAGCAACAATGCAATGTGATTAGACGTCTTTGAACGTCCAAAATATGACCTGAATAGTCTTATTTATATCGCTGTATGTTTGATTTCTAAAATACATCTGAAAATCATTGCTTTGATGTCCTATAATGAAGCTATTTGCACGTATTTGGGGATGTAGAGTCATTCGGGATAAAACGCGCGCCCTTTTTGTTTGACGTTTGATTAATTAAAAATGTGCAGTCTTTAATGAAAAAAATATTCATCTTGGTGTAGTCATTAAAATCGCTAATCAGATATCTCCTTAACAAGAATTGCCATACCTTGAGATTAAGATTACGTATCATTCGTTTAAGAGATTTGTATCCGTTCGAGGAGTTCGACGATGTACTCGCGGTGCTAAATTCAATCGACGTACGTCAATCCGAGAGTTTTCGAATATTCAGAAACGATTTTACTCACTTGTAGACAGTGTTGAAAAGAATTGAACGCGGCCAACTTATCGGATATAGGCAACGGAATACAGAGCAACGAAATTACTCAGATAACAAAAAGTTCTCATAGTGACTATACATGTTTGCGTAATAATCATAACTGCACAGCACCATTCAGATGCGTCCTTGTTTGAGACTCACTTCGCCCGCACGTGAGTGCTGCACGTTTACAGGTTAAGGACTTACGTGAGTGCTCTAATTTAAGTTCATATCGCTTGCACGTGGAGTATCATATGTATGCAAGCGATACGAGCTATTTTAGATAATATATTTTGCAAGCTCTGGGTTGCGTTCCGAAATACGACTCTGTCAACTCCGAGTATCTTTTATCTTTGTTGAACGTTCGGCGAACAACAAAGATGAAAGATACTCAGAGTTAACAGAGTCGAGTTTTGGAACGCACCCCTGAATAGTTATTTAGATAGAACCGAGAATACAGAAACTGTGTGGTAACCTTTAAAAAAAAAGTATCAATTTATCTGAAACTCCTTTATCGATGTTTAACAAATTCGAGAATTGGTTGACGTTTAAAAACGCGTTTTCTTCTATGATACAGACTCATAAAGAAATTTAGCAAACACTGTTAAATTATATTGTTTGTTTTTGAATCGGTATTAACGACTGAAGAAGATAACAAATTAGATATCTTCGCAATTGACTGAGTATAATACAATATACGAAGTTTTGGGAATTGTTGGAATATTTGTAAGTATTAGGTGAATATACGGATTACGCGAAACTTTTTGGCTGTTATAAACTTACTTACGTTAAACAAAAAGAGCAGATGATCAAATTATATTTCAAAGTCCGTCGTGAGGCAATTGTACGAATTGTCTGCTTATCTTTTAATGTGTGTCCTTCACTACTAATTAATAGTATTATTACATGACTATTGATTAGTCGTGTAGGTAGTATGAGCTCACCTACATAGCAATAGAACATCTGGGACAATTTAGACAAGTGACATTAGCTTATGCTTTTAATTATTGGCACATTCTTTTTAGAAGAAGTATTATTGTTGATAATTACGAATATCGCGTAGGGGATCGATGATGTGGAATTCACTTTGTGTGGAAAGTCAAAATAACAGTTTTATTATTCGCTCGCACGGACACTAATGCCAAGATAATATTTTTCATAATGTAAATTAATTATTTACACATTTTTAATATGTTATTTATAGATTTTAATATGTCATTTAACATTATTAAGATCCAAGATGCCATGTGTATCAAAATTGTTAGATTGTTAGTCAATTTAACTCGTGATAGTACTCGCGGTAGTTTATTAGAGTTTGCATTTTAAGTCTGAAAAAATTTCGGTGCGCATTTAAAAATCTACATAAGTACGTAATAGTATATAATTAAATTTACACGAAATTATATTAGAAGTATTCAGCTTGACCGTTACGGTATGTTCTCATCGGTATTCTTTTGTTCATAACTTTTTAATATACATAACGTCCGACAGCTACAACCTGTTAGAGATTACTCAAGGTCATTACCTTGACAATATATGACAATGTCAAGATCATTTGGACAAAGTCCCTTATAGTGAATAATTACAAAAATAGCATTTGACTTAGGGTGTATATGTAAAAATATAGGTAAACCTTTACAAAAGGGGACCACCCTCCGATGACCTTGACCTTGACATATGTTATCAAGATCATGACCCTGAGTAACCTCCGGCAGGTATTAACCGTCGCTCGCCCTTCGTTAAAAAGTTATTAATAATCAAAGTTTTAAAAATAATATCTTATTTCTGCTATATACCATCTTAAACATTATTCTACACATACATTTTGACTTCCTACACTACACGAACTCCAATTCCATGTGTTCCATTCGTTATATAACGATTATGAGTCTATTACTTGATATTTTACACATACACACACACACACACACACACACACACACACACACGGGCGGGTGCAAGGAGGTGGCCTTCGGCCACCCCCCCGCACCCACACCGTCACAGAGGTCTGCCTCGACAGTACAATCATAGCAACAGTACAATCGTAGAAGTCGTGTGCCCCTGTGCAGGGGGGGGGGATGAAAGTTACTTCTCGTGGAAAGTGTAACGTTTCTGAACAGGGAAAAGTGTAGAATAGTACTCAATATCATACATGTATTATATGTTATACCTTAATTTTAAAATTGCAACAGTGCAATCATAGAAGTCGTACGCTCCTTGGAGGGGGGGGGGGGGAGGAATTGGAGTTCGTGTAGTGTAGGAAGTCAAAATGTATGTGTAGAATAATGTTTAAGATGGTATATAGCAGAAATAAGATGTTATTTTTAAAACTTTGATTGTTAATAACTTTTTAACGAAGGGCGAGCGACGGCTAATACCTGCCGGAGGTTACTCAGGGTCATGACCTTGACAACATATGTCAAGGTCAAGGTCATCGGAAGGTGGTCCCCTTTTGTAAAGGTTTACCAAAATATATTTCTTGCAAACAAAATTAGATAAAACAAATGTTTTATCTAATGTTGTTTGCACGTAAAGCAAGCGATCCGAGTTCGACTCCCGACCGAGATATAATATTTTGCGCAATAAGAATTATTATTTTCAGATTTTAATATAGTTTAACATCGATATAAGATACTAAAAGAGCATCTATTAATTATTAAATTGTTAATCAATTTAATTCGTGATAGATACTGCGGTAGTTTATTAGAGTTGCGTTTCAAGACCGATAATTGTTCGGCGCGCAGTTTAGAAAGACTACATGTATCAGAGTATATAAATTCACGCGAAATTATATATATAAGCAACTAAGATCCAGCTAGACTGTTATAGACTTCGTATTCGTATTAGTTATGTTAAAACATTTTTGTTATTTTGAAATGTTTTTTCCCCCTCTTTTAATTTAATAATTTCACACTAGAGCTTCTAATTATTCGAATATCTGATTTATTTGGATCCGCAGATCTAAATACGGATTCGGATCTGAATTTCGATCCGAACTTAGATTTGTGTTCAGAAAGGTAGAAAATCGTTATATTTAATAACTTTTATTATAACACAACAACACATTATAGTTACTTTTTAATTAATAAAAATTGAAAAAATCAATTTACGTATACAGTTTAAGAAATATGTATATGTATAATAATAATTTACGAAATTATTAATTTATATTAGTAAAATTATTAAATTAATTTTCTGAGGCTATGAAGAAAATCTTAGAACATACATAAGCTAAGATAAATGTACCGGTTATTGGACGGTTAAGGAATTGCACGACGAAATCATTTATTTATAAACTTTAGAAACATTAAAATTTTGTTTTATTACACATGCTTAGTAAGAATGGATGTTTTTTGAAACTAAATCCATTATCAAATATGTTATTTGCGTTTATTATAAATTGTATTTAGTCATAAATATAATATGATTCAAAAGTCCTAATTATTGGACAAAAAATGTGACGTGTCTCGGTGTCCACAAAAGTATGACCCAATTATTGGACAAATAAGCAATTTTTTTATTATAGAAGAGAATCGCATTTTACTTACTTATGAATCAAGATTGTTCAAAAAAGTTTATCGAAATTGTAATTAGTGAAGTTTTATATAAAGTTTTATATGTAATATATACAAAATATGTTTGCAGTAGACAGGTACGCTAAGGAATGTCCAATAATTGATACACGCATATATGTGTGAATGTCCTAATAAATGGACGATTGTCCATAAACGAAATTTTTTTTACAAAAGTATCATTTTTAATATGAATAAATTATATAATACTTAATTTCTAAATAATATGAAAAATTGCTTAAAAATTTATTTAGAGTAACACATATCATCAAAAGCTTAATATTTAAAATTATCACAATTTGTCCAACATTTGGGTCGTGTCCACGAACTGGTACATTTACCTTATATGATTTGTTAAGCATATGTTTATTTCACGATTTACATATGACATTTACATTTGAACGTTTAGATATACATATAAATTCTTGACTTATTTATTTGTCATGGAGTGTCAAATGCTATATTGTTAAATATATCTTTTATCCATATGGTCATTTATCCAATCGATGTACGATGGGACACGTGTATATATGTCGGGATATTTTACGTTAGTGCAAATCCCAACCCCAAACGAAACGAGTCCTATAAGTTCTCCATTGACAGTAAGAGGGCCACCAGAATCACCCTAAAAAATACAATTCTCTGATAGTATATAAAAATATGTTTGATAAAAATTTGATTGAAAAAACCGACGAAGAAAATATTTTTTGCAATTAACTAAAAATATATTTCTCTGTTAGAGACCAGAGCTAGCTCTTGGTATATTTACCTTTTGTTATTTTGGTGTTTTGTTACTTTAATTATTATAAATTGATATTTGATAATGATACTAAACTTTCAATTGCTGAGTTATACAATCTTGTTGTCAATTAAATTAAATTATTATATTATAAAACGTAATGAGGAACTTTGAATACGTAATAAATAAAAAAAATAATCAAGACAGTACATTATAATTTTTAATAAATCGGTGATGCAGTTATATTCTTGTAGCAATGAAATGCTTTATGCACTTATATATTATTAAGTACTATATTAATTAATTAATTATTTATTCAAAAAAAATTTATGAATAGTGAAATATTGCAATCACTGTGCCTCTGTAATGATTTCTGATAATTATACGATATAATTTCTCCGTATCGTGGATGTGTATCACAATACCCTATTAGAAACGATACTTATCTTAAGACATTATGTTTAGTAGTTATTAGGAAAATGGCGAATTAAATCTTTGAGTGAGAAAATTAATGCGACATCTTATAATTTACATGTGACATCGCCGTCATTATACATGTGATCGATAAATAATAACGGCGACGTATTGTACAATACCTAGGTAAATAGCTTACCGCGCATGATCCTTTTTGTATGGTTGGATGATTTGCGCAGATTTGCGTATTATAGTCTATGCTTACATTAAATTCATTTTCATACGTTTCTCTACAATAAGTCTCATTAGTTATGATATTGTCTACAACATACAACCATGTGGTTACGTTTCCTTCAGGCTGCAAATATATAAAGTGTAAATGTACACATGCAACTTATGAGAGCATCTTCAGATTTTATTCTCGAATATCTGCGTCTAAGAATTCAAATGATTGAATTTCTAAGATACATACGGATATCATACCGTATCCCGATACTACTGCTACCGAGCCTGCCTCCACAGTTTGATTTTGTTCCGGTAAATTGACAGAAGAGACCAGATAAGAAAATTTCAATGGCGATTGAAGCTGAAAATAAATATTTTGTATGCTCTTTTGCGCAGTCTTTATTTACAAATTGCTTAATTCATAATTAATTGGATATATTATTATATGTAATTAATGTTATATTATGCTTTCGTTACCTTGATTAAAGCGATATCGTGCATGCTCACAGGTGACGTAAAGGGATTGTATTTTTCATGTATATAAATGGATTGGACTTGATGCTTTGAATGTGGTTTTCGTACATCTGTTGCTCCCACATTAACCGAAAAGAGCGAAATGTTCAAACTGTAAAGAATATTACGAGGAACATATCTTTCTATATTTATTCAATGTGTTCAGCGTGACGGTCCGTATGATTTTTCGGCATGCCGTGGCGACCAATCTATTCACTACTCGAAAAGAAGAGAACTACTCAGTTACTATGAATTTCTTCCTCTTTCTATCAAGTCTTCAGCTTTTTTTCAAAAAATGTTTATATTATGCGAATACTCCGTCTCTCTATCTTATAAGTCAATTGTTATATACATATAAACATATAGACCAGACCAATGGCTAGTACGTTTTCGAGATTTTTCCTGTATACATTTTTTTTATAGAAACACCTGATATTCTATTTACATTTAACTCCAAAAAATATAGTTCAAGATTGTAGAGAAAGAATAATAACAAAGTGTGCAACTTTGAATGAAAACAGTATAACAGCCGAGACACATAATAATTTGTTGAACAGAACTTTGTGTTACAGAAGGAAATAAGTAATTTAAACATTCGTTTACATAAGTTACAGTTTCTCTCTATTAATTACGTTTATAATAACTTTTGTTAATGGATATTTATAAAAATTGAATAGAATACTTATGATACATGCATATTATGTACTCATGTAATAAAATATGCAATAAAATCAATAAAACATCAATAAGAGGCACTTCGATAGCGATATGATTTTGTTTTGGAAGCCTTTACAATATGCAATATTATAGGAAAGAATTGTATGAAGCTACATATTTAGAAATTCAAGATGACTTTAATTTTTTTACGAAGCTTATACCAGTCTAACTTGGATCTCTAATTGCTTATGTGTATATAATTTCGCGTGAGAATTTACATAATTTACTTAGTTTAACATCGAGATAAGATTCCAAAAGAGCATCAATTAATTATTAATTTGCTTTAATTCGTGATAGTACCGCGGCAGTTTATTAGATTTGCATTTCAAGACCGACGATTGTTTGGCTCGCAGTTTGGGAGAACTACGTATATTAGTATAAATATAAAATTAATATATAAAATCATGCGAAATTATATACATATAAGCTATTAAGGATTCAAGTTACACTGTTATAGGCTTCGTATTCGTATTAGTTATATTTTTACATTAACGGTCTTTAATATTGAATATTGTTTAATCTTTTTCAAAAGAAATTTTTTATATTTTTTATTTTATTGTGTGTAGTTTGCATAAAATAGATGAAACACTTTTTCTTCACTGCCCGAAGTTTCTGAAAAATTGTTCGGACCATTGCATTGCTCTGAACACCCTGTATACAGTTTAATTTTTCTAATTATTTTTTTAGATTTTTATATTTACCCAAATACACAGTGAGCAGCTGTTAGCACGTGACACTTGTCAATTATAACTCCACCGCATAAATATTTACTACCAAATTGCAAAGAAATCTGAAATATACAATGCTATATAAAACTATAAAATGCATGTCATACGACAGGATAAAACAATTTATAACATTATTCTACGTCTAGCACACTACAAATGACATTGTCAACTTAGAATCGCTTCAATGAAAATAGATAACTCGATGATTGCTCGATCAATTTACAAAATTTTAAAAATATTTTTAAACCCATGCAGTTAACGTAACCGTACCGATTAATAATAGTGTTAATTAAGAATAATTTACTGGTTTACCTGATATGGGATTTCGCCTGGACAGGCAAGTTTTCCTCCTACAATTCTCTCTTCTAATTGTGTTGATGCGCCTGCATAAAATTTGTTTAAATTTAGATAATTATTTAGAATAGGGGAGGCAGCATCGATGACCTTGACATGTCATCAAGATCATGACCCTGAGTAACCTCCAACAGGTTTTAGCCGTCGCTCGTTTTTCGTTAAAAAGTTATGAACAAAAGAAGTTTTAAAATTAATAGTTTTGAAAATAACATTTATTTGAAATTTGTAATAAACTTAATTACTATTTTGTTCAGTAATGTCATTAATTGGATAGAAATAAGCCATAATTTCAAAAAACTTATTAATTCTATCTGAATAATATCATATTTTCGTTTAAAAATAAATTCAGCCAAATAATGTGTGTAATGATATTACAAAGCGACTCTCATCCCACCTCTTCCTCTATGAAGGAGTTTGCAACTTCCATGTTACTGTAAAGTAAATGCGTAGGTGCAGTAGGTTCCGTCCCCCTATGCGGGGGGGCTCTACTATTATTAAAAATAACCTATAACCATTTAGTAGTGTGAAGTAGCTCTCGCTTCGCGTTAGTACACATGCCTGTACTATTGTACGTGGATTTCGACTTTTTACGCGAAGTAAGAACTACCTCCCACCACTAAATAGGTTGGGATAGGTTATTTTTAACAACAGTGGAGCCCTCCCGCAGGGAGGACGGAACATACTGTATCCACGCATGTTATTTCTTTTAATTAAAAGGAGAAGTCAAAATATATACAAATGAATACGTTTAATTAACATTTCCATTATATCCTTTTCTAGGGGGGGTGGGATGGGGAGAGAATGACGGCTAAAACCTGTTGGACATTACTCAGGGTCATGACTTTGATAACATATGTCAAGGTCAAGGTCACCGGTGCTGCCTCTCCTATTCTAAATAATTACCGAATACTTACAATGAAGAATAGTGAACAAAGGAATTAAGAATAATAATTGTATCATCATCGTTATCAATTCTTTGCGAAGTTGTCGATTGATTATTCCAAATCTGATATATATAATATACAGGAAGTTGTGTCTATAAAATTAAATTTGAACTTACATAAAAGATTAAAAAAGACATCATATGTTTATTAATATTTAAAATCGTTTTTAATGTACCAGAATACTGTTTATATTGTCTTATTGACTTGTAATATTAATAAAAGATTGGTAAGCGTATAGTATTGCGCAATTTTCTATTCTATACATATACAAAATCGGTGTTAAAAAAATGTTGGTAATTTTCCAAGTGACAGTGCGACGTCCTTAGACGTCTTTGAACGTCCAAAATATAACCTGAATAGTCCTATTTTTGTCGCTGTATGTTTGATTTCTAAAATACATCTTAAGGATATTACTTGGATGTTCTATGATGAAGTTATTTGCACGTATTTTAAGGATGTACATGGTTCGATTGCTAAAATGTTTAAGTTTTGAGCATTGCCCGAACAATTTTTCTTAGCAAGGTTCGAGTATCGAGAATTATGAAACAACATTTATATACTCTTGTCTTGGGCTTTAATAATTTGTCGATGTTCTTCTTTTTGTTTTCAACAATTTATATATCCGAAAAAATGAATCGCTTCCGTACTATCTGTTCAAAATTGAATGTATGAACGACGTTTATATTATACGTTTTTGCCGAGTAAATTATGTACGTACGCACGCACGCACACGCACACACATACTCGCGCGCCTGCGCGTATTCTGCTTTAAAATAATTTTCGGCGTTCTTGACCTTTGTTAACATTGATTCCCCACCATAGCAAATCGTGTTTGGACAAGATACAAAATTTAGTGCTAATTTGTTGCTAACTTGTTGCTCTAGATCAAATTTTGTTGCTCCAACTGTTTAAGAAAAAGAAATTAAATGAGTGGTTCCATGTTAATTGCAAGCTTGTAAATCAAAATAAGGTGTATGTATAAATGTATTTTTAAAAAATCATATTTAAAAAAACGAGTGCACCAGATTTGTTACTTTTTTGTTACTCTGACTATCAAGTCATACTGAGAATACAATATTGTTGAACAGGTAATCTATTACAGAATTAATTAGAAATGAACCGTCATGTGTTGCAGTGTTATGACTAAAAGTTACGCATATAGAATTTGTTGCTAACATGAATTTGGTACCAAAATATTCTAATATACGCTATCGAACATAAATTTGGTACCAAAATATTCTAACATACGCTATCGAAATATGTAGGTATCCAATATTCAATATCCGAATTTTTGCTTCTTCTAACGAATGAAAAATAGACATTTTATTTGGGTCGATTAAACATTGTTTAAAGAATTTGATGTTTCAATAAATATTATCGATTCGTTAGGATAAACAACAAATTTGAGTATTGACCGTCTCAAGGTGTCATTGCATGTAGCACTGAAATGCGAAAGATTAAGTTAATTAAACATTACTGAATATCTGCATTTTTGTGCGTTTTGTTCTGTCTGTTTTGATTTCTTTCTGTTACATGGAATAGAATTTTTGCCGAAAAGCGAAACAGGGAATTAGAATATTTTAATTTTTAACGATATTGTTTAAGGTGCTTGTATACAATAGATAAACTGAAAACATAAGCATATATTAATAATTCATTGAAGTAAGTGGATACAATTTTTCAAATTAAACACAAAAATTTATGAATCACAGAACAAAAATTTATATATCTGTCATTAAATTGTTCCACTTTTCCGTGGAAATTGTGTTTCATGTAATATAAGAAAACCAGCCAAACGGAACACGTAAAAATGCGTAAAAATAGTTCTTTTTTTTTTTTGCATTTTCGCGTTTCAAATAATGGCACTCTCTAGCGTTATGACGTGTTTGTTTCAGTCCTATAGTGACGCAAGATCACAGCTCAAGATCAGATTAGTGCTTATGTTATATATATTGTTGGAGTATGAAACAAATGTACGAGAATCAAATAGGCAGTCGATTAATGTTATGTGTTTGTACTGAGAATTAAATTGATTCGATATCAATTATTACATTTTGTGATTCATTATATACGAAACATATTTTGATACCTCTTGTTAGGTTCGCGAATCCCACGTACGAGATCGGACGGGATACCACGCAAGAATTAATCACTGTTTGGACAACATTGAACCAGATAATGTCACATAGAAAAAAATGATTCAATCTTGATTCACGTATATTTTTATTTTTGAATGCTATTTGTTTTCTTTAAGTATAGAAAACTCTCTTTAATTACAAATATTCATTTGCATCAATAATAAATAAATTTGTATGAAGTATATTTTATTCTTAAAATTGTATTCTTGTTTCTGAAATAATTATATCGTTCTAACAAGCTCAATCACATTATTTGAAAACTATTCATTCTTGGATTAAGAATTACATATTTGAAAGTGCGCTTGACTTATATTCAGAGCTCATTTGTTGCGCGCTCGCGGGCAACAGCGCGTAATGAGAGCCATGGTATAGGAATAGTAAGGTGAGTCGTTCCCGAGATTGTGCAGGGCTGCGTTCAGAATCATCATCTAAGTACACCAGGTGTCGTGTTATCATTGTTTATCATTTGTGGACAAAGGAGGATAAAACAACATCTGGGTGCATCCGGACGACGATTCTGAACACACTCCAGTAGCCTAAAAGTAGTAGAGAGCGGACAGCTAATCAAAATAGGCCTGTGTTTTGAAAACCATACCTAGTGAGAAATGACAATGGAATCGACGTCAATACGATGTCAATTCGACGTCGAAAGAAAAGTTTACAAGTGCTAGATTAGGTTACGGAGATATATAGATAAGTCTGTGTTAAGCATTTAATGAATTAGATCTAATAAAACCATTAATGATTATATAAGAGAGAATATTATCGTTATTTAATTAGAATAATTTTCTTTTATTAAGTTAATAAAAGATGTCATTGAAGAAAAAATAATGTTAATACGAGCATATTTAATCTTAAACGAATGGCGCTCTATTCTTTAATTAAAAAAGATGAAAGTGGTATGGTGATTGGTGGTACATACTCTCCAGATTAACACAAATTGGTAATTAATCAGGCGAAAGAGAGTGCAGCGTTGGTGTAGTACGCTAGTAAAAAATTGTTTGTTTTTTTACGATAAATTCTTTATTCAATGGATTGATGATATTTTCCAAAGATACGTTTTGACTCAATTCCGAGTCCTCTTCAGCATTAAATATTGTCTTTACTACCTATATGTAAGTAAGGAGGATCATCAACAAATTGACAGATTTGATGTGGTACATCTTAAACATACAAAGCAATTGTCATGAAATCTCAGATCAAAATTTTACTATTAAGTCACATAATGTACTAACAGTAATATTCTCTTGATTTTTGATCCAACACTTCATGAGACTTACAGGAACAATACCAAAGATATACTGTATAAAATTAAAAAAAGTAAAAAATCGAGTAGTTTTACGCATTCTTGCAGCCAGCGTGTCTTCAAAATTTTTTACTTGCGTACTACAACCAACGTTGCACTCTTATTCGCCTGGTTTAATCACCAATTTGTGTTAATCTGGAGAGTTTGTACCACCGCACCACTTTCATCTGACGCTATTTTAAGAATAAAATATTCTTAAATTGAAGTATATATGCATTTATTTAAGAATTCATTTTTTTGTGTGCATCATACAAGAATAAGTTTGACTTCTACTTGCCACGAAGTGTATAACAATAACTGATAGAGTTAAACTCATTGTACTGAAACGAACATCATTAAAATCGCAAATCTTGAGTTTCTTTAACAAAGGTAGAATTGACGTATCTTGAGATTGAGATTATTTATCATTCGTTTAAGAGATTTATATCTCGCGTTCGAGGAGTTCGATGATGTACTCGCGGTGCTAAATTCAATCGACGTGCGTCAATCCGAGTTTACGAATATTCAGACGATTTTACTCACTTGCAGGCAGCGTTGAAAAGAATTGAACGTGGCCATCTTAGCTAATATAGGTAACGGAATGCCAAACGACGAAATTATTCAGATAACAAAAAGTACAATTACTTCACACTTTTGTATAATAATCGTCATAATGTTACAGCACCATTTAAATGTGGATGAAAGGCTTACCTGAGTGCTCTAATTGAGATTCATATAGCCTGCATACGTGAGTGCCGTATGTGTGGAAACGATATGAGCAGTTTCAAAATATTTTTACTCGGTAAACATACATAAATAGTTATACTTCTATTTTCGAGTGTTCGAGGCTAGCTATGTGAACCTGGCACTTGAGACTTTAAAAAAATAAAATTTTTTAATCGTTAAAATAAGTTCGTCGGTTTCTACGGATCCCGGAATAGCACTTATTTACAAATTTGAAATGTTTTCAAAAAAATGACAAAATTGATTTTAATTTTTATTTTGAAATTTCAGTACAACCCCTTTGAGGGTATAAACAAAACCGACGGTGATACAAAAGTATCAGGTCTCAAGTTCTCATATAGATCTTACGGAACTTTTTCATGTTGATGCTCGAAACTCATTTTTAGCATCAAAACAGACCATGCGATACAAATTGAAGAATATCATACATGAACTTTGATCACATGACCTTTTGCCGTTAAAAATGTACGTTGATCATCAGCATAAAAAAGCACTTTTGAGACTCACTTCGAAGTTCATTTTATTGAAATATAACTGAAGGGCTTTTTTTAAATACTACACCTTTTTAGTTTATTCTACGCTGTTTTTTAAATTCAAGAAATTTAATTTGTTGCATCTCTGTAATAGAGGTGCTGTGTACTTGATGACGCACGCAATATTTTCTGTTTAAAACAGTATTACTTAACCGATTTGAATGTTTCTTTAATAGAAATACTCGGAAATAAATTCGAAAGAGAACTATGGAAGTAGAATTTGGACGTTCTTTGTTTGTGCCAAAATATTTAAATAAAATGATAAATTAGCACTTTTTCACTGAATAATTTTTTACCTAGTTACAAGCTAATGTAATACCCTCATTATTGATAAAAATAAATATTATCCCATCATATAAAGGAAAGAATAAAAAATTAACATTTAACTTAATTTTTATAAACAAATTGTTGAAACAAATTATAGATATTTTCGTTTTCTTACAGATATAATTAGTTAATTAATTTAATTGACTCAAGTTAGTATACAAGACAGTAATAGTCTCTCACAAAATTTGATTATTAATTATTAATTTCTATTATTATAAACAATCAAATAAGCAAATAGTGATTTTTTTAGATGACTTATTACAGATTACTTTATATTTAAATCAAGTATACATATAATTGATTCTAATATCTGAAATTATATTAACAATGTATGTAAATTGTCATTGTTAATAATAATTAATATTATAAATTAGTAACTAAATTAGTTACTTTTTCATAACGTAATTTTTTATTACATTTACATTTTGAAAATAACTTTAGAAATAAATTTAATTGTTACATTATATCTGATAAACAAAAATCTTATTTATTATAAACAAATTTGTTAACATCTTTTACACTCGCTCAATATGCCTGCATGATGGTATAGTGACATCTTTTATGCTGGCACTTGTGCCCCTATTATGTTGTAAGGGTATTGTTGGAACGTTCGTAAGTACTAGACTATAATCACACACGACACCTTTCGGCTATTATAAACTTATCTTAGGCAAAGAGAGCATAGATAATTTGATAAAACTCGTTCAACAATATATCACGTGTTCAACAATGTATCACGTCGCGTTAGGTACTTTAAGCATCACAATCGGCAAAGAAATAACCGTATATCTTTTAAAAATTAAATTATTAAAATCCTCATATGCCAGTGCAAATTTATTTCAGAGTCCATCATAAGACAATTGAATGTGCGAGCTGTTAATTTATCGTTTAATTTGTGTTGTGCACAACTATTGTGAGCTCACCTATACAACAATAGCCTTTTGGAACAATTTAGACAAATGACGTTTACTTATGCTTTTAATTATTAGCCTATTCTTCATAGAAAAATATTTATTTTTATTATTGTTGATAATTAGGGACGTGAGTCGCAAAAAATTATATCGATTTAAATTTCTTAAATACAATTAAGAGAGAGTTTTCTTGAATAATAGTGTGTGTGTGTGCGTGTGTGCGTGCGTGCGTGCGTGCGTGCGTGCGTGCGTGCGTGCGTGCGTGTGTGTGTGTGTGTGTGTGTGTGTGTGTGTGTGTGTGTGTGTGTGAGAGAGAGAGAGAGAGAGAGAGAGTGAGAGAGAGAGTGAGAGTGAGAGTGAGAGATAACAATTATTAAGTTGAACATTAAGTCATAAGTATTACAAGTTGTGTATAATTCTTGCAAGAAATAAATGTCGTTGATATCAACTGCATACTTTTGAGTTATATTGGGTTGGTAATCTATCTACTACTACTTAAACAAACAATTTATCCAACACTTTAACATCAAATGACATTTTCCTCAGTTTTTTATTTATAATTCTCGATCCAACAGGAACACAGAAGGATACTAAGTCATCATTAAAATCATATATGATTATTGCTAAATCAGACAAATACCAAGCTTTGTTGAGCTTCTCAAGGCATTATTTTTTGTGCATAATAACATTCGGTTGCTATGCAACTTTTTCTTCATTCTAATGTGAGATTGTACAACAATATCTTTAGGGCAACAATATCTTTAGAATGATAAATTCTTTACATCCCTCTCTGCAGGGGCAGCATGTAATACATCTGTTTTCTGTGATTGAACTAGTGAACTTTTGGAACCTAAAGTGAGATAAATAGGTATATATTCGATATTTGTGCGAAAGCGAGAAAGAGAGTTTTAGTATAGTCTAGTGCAGAAACAGAAAACGAACCAACTTTTTTTGGCTATACATTTAATAATACGAAGCGGGGGAGAAAGGTGTGAGGCAGTTCTTAACATTAAATCTAACAGGAATAAGACATTATTCAATTTTTATTTATAACTTTTTATAACAGGTAACGAGTGATGGCTAAAATTATTGAAGTGATGATCTTGATAATACGTGTGTAGATCAAGGTCATCGGAGCATAGTCCCTTGTTTGATATATTTATTTGGATTTGTTGTAACAATTCTCTCTTTTGAGATATATTTACTAGCGATTTCAGAAATAATGAAACATTTGTACAAATAGGTTTGTATGTATATTGTTGTGCGTACTTTATTTTGTCCATGATAAATTTGATAATAAATGTAACGGACTTGACTATTAAAGGATTTCATATTGTTTTTGAAATTTTTATAATCATTATTACAAAGCAGACTAAATACCTTTGTTTTACCTGATTCATTATTATGCTATCTGCTAGGACTGACGAGATATTTGCATAAATGTGAAAATGTTTGGAGTGTGTACTTTATTTTGTCTAGTACTGTATATTATGTATAAGTATATATGTATATATTTATAACATTTATTATTTATAGGAATGTGTGTTTTTTCTTTAAGCAATTTGTTGTTAACATCGTTAAACTAAAAACTATAATAATATTTATATGTAAAACAATCGCACGATATTGATCGTTAGAAGATACATATTAGTTGCTGTTCGATAGCGAGAAGATATTATACACGCCGGTCAAGTTGAGAAAAATATTTAATAATTACACAATAAATATTTGTACATTATAAGTTCAAATCTTAATATGTTATTACAATTAAAGGTTATTAACGCAATTTGTTTTAGAATAAAATTCTCGCTTGATATAATTTAACATTATCTTATAAATTTTGTAAGTAATAGATACATGTGTTAATCTGGCATGAATATTTCACAGAATTATTAATCTGAAAATGAAAAGATATTAAAAAACAGTAATACAAATTTATGTTTAAATGTTCAATAATTATCCTGGAAACAATAAAATTAATTAAGCGATGAAACATCTTAATATTTGATTAAACTGTTAATAATTAAAAGACACCTTTTTTTGTACAAATTATAAGAAAGATATCTTAAGTTTTTACAAGGATCCTTGCAAGAAAAATTATCTTAGTTTGAAACATTCTTTGAATGAAATATATCAGTATCTCGTATAATAAGCTCAGTTTGTAAATAAGAATCGTACTAGTTCATAAATGAAATAGTCTCACAACACTAAAGACAATGTATGTACATTGAGAACGAAAGATATAATCAATTGAATTTGAGACAATATCAATAATTGTCGCCTTCTTTCTTTTGTTGTAAATATCATATGAAAAAGTACGTCTAATTGAGAAATGTTCGTCTCAGAATCATTACATGAATATGACTTACCAAGTGAGAAGACTTAACATAAATACTGTAAATACCTTTCTACAAAGGTACTTGGTAGTCATATGAAAGAATATACGCTTCCGTCCAGAACAGTTTTATGTAACTTGTCTGGCTTAGCCGGCTTGAGAGAAAGGAATGCGTATGCCATGTATCGTTATTGATACCGTTTGAGAACGTGTGCCGGAAATCCTTCAGATCGTCTAAACCAACAAGCCAAATTTCCAAGGTTGGTAGACGAGTATTATCTAGATCTGAAGGATGAATAACTATCTCATCGGCCACAATACCTTTGTAACTTTCACTGTATGAAATCTATTTTGCTCGAGAAAATATACGTGATTACTTGAAACGGTCTCTTTTTGGTTGTCAAGAGAAATAATCAAACAATTGAATTAGTATAAGAAATAGGAACTGAAGTTCGTAACGATCATGTTGCGCGCGTATTTGATTTGAGTGAAATCGCAACAGTTGCTTTCTGGAGCAATATGAGAAAAATTTTCGGTATGTACCAGTATGTAAGCTATATGATTTATTAAATGTATGTTTATTTAATGATTTACTTATGACATTTACATTCGAACATTTAATTATACATATCAATTCTTGATTTCTTTATCCATGTCATTAAGTATCAAATACTATATTTCATTAAAAATATCTTTTATATTTTATCCATATGCTCATTTATCCAATCGATGAACAATGCAACCCGCGTATACACTGCGGGATATTTTACACTAGTGCAACCCTCATTCCCAAACGAAACCAGTCCTATGAGTAGTCCATTGAAAGTAAGAGGGCCACCGGAATCACCCTAAAAAATACAATCTGATAGTTAAAAATATATTTTATAAAAATTTGATTGAAAAAATGGACGGACAAGATACCTTTTATAATTAATTAAAAATATATTTCTTTGTTAGAGCATAGCTACATAGATCATGTTATTTATGTTTTATTATTTTAATTAAATTAATGTTTGGTGATACTAAATTTTTAATTGCTGAGCCACGATCTTGATGTGAATTAAATTACACTATAAAACGTAACGGGGAACTCCGAATATGTTAATAAACAAAATAATTAACAGTACATTAGCAATAAACAAACGGTGATGCACCATATTACTATAAGAGTAAAATGTTTTATGCGTGTATGCATTATTAAGTATTATATTAATTAATTAATGTAAATGACAGTACATGATTATACCATTATATTTTCAAAATTTATGATTTAGGAACCAGGATTTCTTTTTATTTGGTGAATAGAATACATAGATTAAATGAAAAATAATACAGCAAAACATAAGAATACTAAAATGATTATAAAATGTAAGACCCAAAAGAATAATGTATATATTTGAACTGTAATTAATTTAGAAATTTTTGTATACTTTATTGAGAGAGAGAGAGAAGGACTACATTTACGGTTGAAATATTTGAAATGTTTTAAGTCGTATAAATATAAATTGTGATTTTGCATTTTTGGAAATGTGAATTGCGACGCACACTCTAAGATTGACATGTTATGAGAGCGGTAGTTGTAATATCTAAGCTGAAGGCGGCTCAAAACAAGAGCCGAAACGATACAAAAGTTTTTACTTTTAATTCTAGCGCAATATTCAATTTGGCACTCTTATGTATTACTCAATTCTTATATTTTATATTATTACATTTATTAATAAATATAAAATTCGGCGACAAAGAATCAGAAGGGCTTGTAAAGATCTAATCATTTTTAGTTGAATTAATTAATTGGTAAGAATTGATAAAATATTATGATAGATGAGATACTGCAATCACTATGTGCCTCTGTAATTTCTAACGATTATACAATATAATCAGATTTACTTCCTTATCAAGGATGCATATCACAGTACGCGATTAGAAGTGCAAGCATTATATCAAGACATTACGTTCAGCAGTAATTAGAAAAATGGAAGATTGAAAATTCTTAATAAAAATATATAAACTAGTTATGGACTCTTTTTTTTTGTTAAAAACAAATAAACAAACATAAATTAAAGGCTATAAAGAGTTAAACGCAGTTAACAATGCGAAAAAAAATTTTAATAATCTTACAAATTAACATTAAAATATTCCGTCGAACGTTTCGGTCTGCAATTTAGACCATCTTCAGTGACAACATAATAATAAACCGATGTTTCATTTACTCCGAGTTAAAATGCAAATTGTAGAATCAATTCTTGTTGACTAACAAAATGTTCCTGTGCATCAACTAGAGGTAAATTCATCGTAGATAATGGATGTGGAGATGTGTAATAAAATTACGAAGAATCAGAAATATGTCTCTGTTGGTAGACAAAAACATTATTTCATAATTAAATTCACAATTTAATCATATTAGAAAGACTGACTATAATACATACGTGTCCGTATTCAACAGTAAAAGACGATATTATGGAAGATTGAAGTTTCATGTGATAAGAAAATTTCGGGTTAAGTATTAATACTAATGATGATATTACTGTGGTAGTTTATTAATGTTGTGTCAAGTCTGAAAAAATTTTGGTTCACAATTGAAGAATTACATACGTAGTATATAAATTCACACGCAATTATTTAGATCCCCGTCATCCAACTTAGACCGCTGCGCGGCATTGTTCTCATTCGGTTTTAAGTAATTAATAATTTTACTTGAATAGATATTGTATAATTGTACCTATATGTGACCGATAATTTAATGACGGCGATGTATTACAACGATTTACGTAAATAGCTTACCGCACATGCACCCTTTTGTATGACTGGATGATTTGCGCAGATATGCTGATGAGTAATGCTTATATTTAGATCTTTCTCATATGTTTCTCTACAATAGGTCTCATTAGTTATGATATTTTTTACAACGTACAACTGTGTAGTAAAGTTTCCTTCAGGCTGCAAATGTATAAAGTATAAATATATACATGTAACTTATGAGAGCAATATTCGATTCTGGAATATCTGCGTCTAAAAATTTAAATGATTGAATTACTAAGAGACTTACAGATGTTACACCGTATCCCGATACTACTACTGTCGAGCCTGCCTCGACAGTTTGATTTTGTTCTGGTAAATTGACGGAAGATACCAGACAAGAAAATTTCAATGGCGATTGAAGCTGCAAATAACAAATCTTCTGTATACTCTTTTGCGTGCTTTTTTATTTAAATTGCTTAATTTATCATTTAATTGGAATGATACAATTATCATATTATCGTTACCTTTAGTAAAGCGATGTCGGCGCTTACAATTATGAGACCATTTATAATTGTAATATTGAACTCTTCGTGTACGTAAATAGACTGAACTAGATGTTCTGAATGCGGTTTTCGTAGATCTGTTGTTCCCACAATAACCGAAACATCCGAACTGTTTATACTGTAAAGAGTATTATGAGGAACTTTTTTTTTCCATACAGGACGTTCAGCATAACAATTTGTACGATTGTTCAAATATTTTCGACAGTTAAGAAAAAAATTAAAAGGTGAATATTTATTTGTTTTATGAAGAATAATTACATGCCTAAAAAAATTAAAAAAGGTTTATTTCATAAAAAATGAAAAAATCAAACATTTTTTAAATAACGCTATATACAATTTGTTTTATAATTATTGTAGAGGTCAAAACGAATCTAATTCACTGGTTGTCATTTTTATTGCTGTTTTATATCAAATTTTATTGATCTTTAATATTAGATGTAGCATTATTTGTAACAACAGTACTTATATCTCTCATTCGAAATGTACACGTATTACTTTTCCAACCCATATATAACGCACGAATAAATAGATCATTTTCAGGATATCTTTGCAAATGTTTTATGTGTATATATAAAACGAGCCTGATGGCTGGCACGTCCTTAGGATTTATTATATCTGTAAATTTTTTCTTATAGTGACATCCGAAAAAGATCGTGTAATTATTAAACAAAATGAAGTTCAAGACCTTCGAGTAAGAATAATTACATCTTCTGATATGTATAGTAAATTAAAAAGGGCAGGACTTTGTGTTAAAGAAGAAAATAAACAATTTGAATATTTGTTTACAATTATAATATAAGTTACAATTTTTTTCTATTAATTTCTATTTATAATATTCTTTACTCATGGATATTTAGGATACATACCTATTATAATAAAATATGCAATAAAATCAATAAAACATCAATAAAAAACATTTCAATACTGATTTGAATTTGTTTTAAAGACTATTATGCAGTTATGGGGAAAAGTGGTATGGAACTATTTAAAAATAATATAATGATGACTTCGATTTTTTAAAATGAAAATAAGAGTTGTTTAAATTTTTTTTGCATGTGGCAGCCTGTATATAACAGGTGAATATTTACCTTTAAACTTTTTTTCTTCAATGTCGAAAGTGTCCAAAAAAATCATGCTGACATTTACGATAAACACTGTATATGTATAAGTGTTTCTTGAAATTTTTATATTTACCCATATACACAATGAGCAGCAGTTAGTATGTAAACCTTGTTAATTATAACTCCACCGCAGAAATGTTCACCACCATATTGCAGAGAAATCTGAATTATAAATTGCACATTGTGTAACAGAGAATACAAAAATTTTTAATATTATTATACGTTTAGCCCACTATAAATGATATTGTCAGCATTGAATTATGCTGAATGAAAATAGTTGAACTCGATGATTGCTTGATCAATGCTCGAAGAATTCGAAAGATGTTTCTAAACCAAGCAATTGTATAACGTGTACACATAACGATATTAATTAATAATAATATTAATTAAGAATAATTTACTGGTTCACCTGATATGGGATTTCACCTGGATAGGCAAGTTTTCCTCCTACAATTCTCTCTTCTAATTTTATTGATGCGCCTGCACAAAATTTATTTCAACTTATTATATTTATAAATTTAATTTTAATAAATTAAATAAAATTGATCAATTTGTCTGCTAAAACACTAACCATAAGCAATAGCAAAAAGAGAAATTAAGAATAATAATTGTATCATCATCATTATTAATCTTGTGCGAAGTTGCCAATTGATTGTTTTACTTCTGATATGTATAATATATGTAGGATGTGCCTATAAAATTTAATTTGAAATTACATAAGAATTGAAAATATATCTTATTATTCAAAATCACTTCTAATCTATCGGAATACTATATTTATATTAAACAATATTTAATACTAAAGACCGTTAATGTAAGAGCATAATTAATTATACGAATACGACGAAGTCTATAATAGTCTAGTTTAGATCCTTTATCTGCTTATATATAATTTTGCGTGAATTAATATACTAATATATGTAGTCCCCCCAAGTCGTATTAGTTATGTTCTTACATTAAAGATCTTTAGTATTGAATATTGTTTATTCACGCGCCTGAAAGAAGGCGTTTATCATTTCACATATATCAGTTATTGTGAGGAATATTACTAAGGTCTCGATAGTCTAATTGACTAGGACACTTGCGCGTAAAGCAAGGTGTCCGGATTCGATTCCCAGCCGAGGTAATATTTTTCGCAATAAGAAGAATATTTCTAGATTTAGTATTTTCAGATTTTAATATAGTTTAACATATATATAAGATGCCAAAAGAGCATCAATTTCGTGATAGTACCGCGACAATTTATTAGATTTGCGCTTCAAGATCGACGATTGTTCGGCGCGCAGGTTGGGGGGACTACGTATATTAGTATATAAATTCACGCGAAGTTATATATAAGCAATTAAAAGATCCAAACTGGACTGTTATAGGCTTTGTATTCGTGTTAATTATTTATATTGTCTTTTCTGTTTATTTCTAATACTAATAATTTGAAACGAATGTACTGAGAACTAAATAGACATTCGATTAATGATATTTGAATGGATGAAGACTCAAACAGACATTTATGATATCAACCATTACATTTTGTAATTCATACATACGAAACATATTTTGGTGCTTCCTGTAGGGTTCGTGGACGTACGAGATCGGATTATGCTATGCAAGAATCACATTTCGCTATTCCGACTATCTGATTTTTTATACCAGATAGTGTCATCACACAAGAGTAAGTTATTTGATTTCTACTTACCGCGAAGCATGTACCAATGACTGACAGATGTAAACTCCTTGTATATAGGAACGTACGTAATTGAAATCGCAAATCACGAATTTCCTCGACAAAGGTACAATAGACAATAGACACCTTGAGATTAAAATTACGTGTCGTTCGTTTAAGAGATTTGTATTACGCGTTCGAAAAGTTTGATGTTGAACTCGCGGTGATAAACCCGATCGACATACGTTAATCCGAGTTCTCGAATATGTTCAGGAACGATTTTACTCGCTTACAGGCAGTATTAATAATAAATTGAGCGCGGCCAATTTAACGGATGAAGGTAACGGTTTGCCGAGCGACGAAATTACTTAGATAACAAAAAGTCCGTACAGTGTTTTCACACATTTGTATAATAAATATCACAATGTGACTGCATCGGGGAATGGAAATTATTTTTTAAAAGTGACAAGTTATATACCATACAGTTACTCGTTACCGAGTAGAAAAAATAATTAGATACTGTTTCTAATTACCAATTTTTTATAGTAACTCGTTATATTTACTATTACTTGAAAAAGTAACTTTTCGTTACATTATTTTTTCAGTTTAAAAAGTGTACCTTTTCAATACTTTGTTTAAATATTAATGAATAGTATACAATAATGACACTATAGCTTTACTTTTTAGATTATTTATTTTGTTTTACCTTTTAATTTTTTGTTTAAATATAATTTAATAAATCTGAAACTTGTAAAATATGCAACAAACTGTGACAATGAGATATCCATTCGACACATGCACCTGTTACGTAAAAGTATAAAATAATTCTAATCAAACCTGTGTCCTATCATGTACAAAATATCGCTAAAAGTAACTGTAAAATTTGTTATTAAAAATGTAACTACGTTACCATTACCATTACATTACAAATAATTGACATTGATTTTCAGAATATATATATCTGTTTTCTGGACCAATATGAAGAAAATATTGAGCATATATATAAGCTATATAATAATTAATATATGATGTTTATTTAACGATTACATATGACATATAAACATTTAAACATTTCATTATACATATCAATCTCGATTTCTTCATATACGTTACTAAGTAAAGTAGATTATTATGTTTCGTTATAATCTTTTATATCACATGCTTATCCAATTGATGTACGATGGGATATGTTATGATAGCGCAGCCAAATGTAAGCAAAACGAGTTCTCTTGAATTGTCCAGTAACAGTAAGGGAGTCACCAAAGTCATCTTTTCCTTTTTCTTATAGTAGGCCTCTGACCTATGTTATACTTCTCTCTGTCATATACTTGTGGTGCGCACGCATGACAGATCAGGGGTGCGTTCCAAAACTCGACTCCAAGTAACAGAGTTAACTCTACGCGCGCCGTTTCAAAACGCGAGGTAACTGATCATACGGAGCCTATTTGTTCCAAAAGTATAAGTAAACCTACCTCGAAGTCAACTCTATGAACCTTGCTTCCGAGGTGGGTTGAAAAAGTAAGTGTGATAAATTGAATAACGTATGGAAGATACACCTGTGACATGTAAAGTTAGGGTAGAAGTACGCTATTTTGGCCATTTCAGGATTTTTCGTGTGTACATATAATCAAAACGATAAAACAGTGATTTATCGAGACTTTGTCTATTTTAGCTACATTTAAAGTTGAAATAACTTGCATTTCTCTTCACGTTTGAATGAAATAGTTCACGGTGGCTTAATGAAGATTTTGCCAAATTAAATTGAAGTCCCATTGATCTGTTATAACAAATGCGTTTTATTATTAAATATTTTATGAAAATTGTTATTTACAAGTATATTGTAAAAGGATTTTACACTCACCTATAAAAATCTGGAGTCGCCAACAATCATAAAATGACTAGTAATTGTACTCTCGGTAATATAAGAGGTCTTTTTTTAGGTTTTGATAACATTTAGCCCAATTTATTTTCTAATATTTGAAAACAGGTGCAAGTCATGCAAAATTGTTCCTTAAATTGATGTGTGTTGTAAATCTGGGTACGACATTATCTACATAACCTTCTATGCAAACAACTTTTTTTGTAACGTTTTCGTCTTAATTAGGAAAATTGCATTATATACAATAACTCATCCAGCTCATTTTTACTTTCACCACTGTTTATATCTAAATTTTTAGAACAGTTTTCACTAACGTTTCGTTACAGGCGATAATAGTTATCAAAACAGATTGTTCCATTTCCTGTTTCCTTTTTTTCCTTGGTATAATAACCTTATGTGGATTTCCAACTCATCTCTCTTACTTTTTCACGTTCTAAATTCGTTCAACTCAAGTAACGTATTCTGACTTACTCTTTCCCCCACTACTCCGGGTTCTTTAGAGTTGGCAGGGTCGAGTTTTGGAACGCACCCCAGTAGACCTATTCTATAATTCTTAACCAGGGTAACTTAATTTGGCAAGTAAGACGTTATTTGTAACGTTTTTACCGTTACTTTTTTCAGTAACGAATAGGTAACAAGATTACGCATTTTCTTCGGAGTAATGTTCATGGTAACGCATTTACATTTTTGGGGTAATGGTAACAATTTTATTAGTTACTTTATTTCTAGCCACGTAAAAGTGCAGTCAGGAAACAACAAGTGGAATACAGTGACTACTGACTCATCGGTTTAATGATCTCGACTATGCGGACGATATCATATTACTATCACACATAGCAATGCGTAGGGAAGAATATCAGCACTACAGAGGTACGCAGCAGAAGTTGGATTAAAGATCAACACCAACAAAACCAAAATAATGCGCATGGGAACAAACATAAGCATACCCATCTCCATAGAAGGACGCACAATAGAAGGGGTCAACGACTTCTACACCTTGGATGTGTGGTTGCCAAAGACAGAGGCACCAACAACGATATCAACAAAAGAACAAATAAGGCTCGACAAGCCTTCTTCAAACTTAATAAGATATGGAGAAGCTCAAGGATGTCTAATATATAATACATAAGCTTCGTCTATTTAACGCTTGCGACAAATCTGTGCTGTTATACAGCTGCGAGACCTGGAAGACCACAAAAGATTTAATGAACAATCTTCAGGTCTTCGTGAATAGGTGTCTGCGACGAATCCTGAGACTGTTATGGCCAAATTTGCTAACGAACGAAGAACTATAGCACACTTCCAAGCAATTAAAAATTGGTACTGAGATCCGCCGCAGAAAGTGGAAATAGATTTGCCATATCCTGAGGAAAAACCTGCATGACAACTCGCATGGCTATGGAGTATACATTCTACAAGGACAGCGTAAGAGAGGAAAATCCGCCATATCTTGTAGGAGAATAGACAAGGAAATCGAGTCAATTGGAAAAAGCTAGGCAGAAATAAAAACGATTGTCCAAGATAGAATAAGATAGAGGAGAATCGTAGACGTCCTATGCTCCACTTAAGGAGATAAAAAGATCCGTCATTATCAATTAACAATTATGCAAAATAATTAATATATAAGTGTGATAAGCTATCCCTAAAGGTTACAATTGAGTACTAAGAATATGAATCTGAGTACATCTAAATAGACAACTGCATTGTTTACTGTGCAAGCAGTTGTCATGGAGACGCGTCACAAGGATTACAAACGTGTGCTTGTACGGAGGTCGACTGTGGACTATTAGGAGGTCGTGACTATAAAGAGGTTTTACTGTATATTTATATATAATTAGTAATTATATATACCTATATATATTTTATATCTCACACATTTTTTCAGTTCTATTCCTCTAATAAAAAATATAATTTTGATGTTTTTTACATTTAAAAAAAAAATCTGCACATAATAGTATATTAATGTCAAGAAAAAAGTAATAAAAAAGTAACGATTCGTTGTATTTTGAGTAACAATAACGGTAATGGTAACGGTAACGAGTTATTAAGGAGTTTTTGCGCAATACCGTTTATCTCAGATATGA